AAGCAAAGAGAAAACGTAGACGAGGAAAAATGCAAGAAATTAACATATACACCCACCTTCGTTTAGGGGTGCACAAGTCTCCACTAACAATCGATGTCTTCCCTAGGTCTCCATCATTTTTTAGGTCTTGTCGTGAGAACTCTTCATCTAATAGGGTTTTAGTTTTTTAATTTATTAGGTTTAAAGATTAAGGGTATTTATGTCTATTTAAGTGATATTTTGGATATATTTGAAAGTTTTTATAAAAACTGATATTTTTGAAATTAGGGACTAATATTTGGCTATATTTGATAAATACTTATTATAGCCACTATTTTAAATTTATAATAATTATAACTAAAAGTTGATATGTAAGTACTAAAATACCCTTGTTTAAAAATATGGTTTTCCAAAAAGAAACTAAAAAGCAAGCTGCTAAAGATGTTCCCTCATCTTCGATTGCCCCCAAAGCATCATATCCATCCCTTCGTCCCTAGTCAGTCGTCACCTCGCACCTACCTTGCCATGATTGTTGACTGATATATCAGTTTTCATTTTCATAACTAATTTTAATTTTAATTGCTTAGGTCCTATGGACCCAATGCCTCAAGGAAAGAATGGAGACGATGCCGGTTGGGTGTGACTTCAACAACTCCGATGAGGTCTGAAATCAATACCGTTGACGGAATCTAAGACCACTGTCTCACTCAACCTCCACTCCAAACCATGGCGTTCAAAGTGAGAACTACCAATACACTCCCAACCATGCCTTTGCGAATCTACATTCAAACCCCAGGACACCCATTTTTCTATGATCTAGAGGTAGTCTCAATACAACTGTAGCCATTTAAGGGTATAAGAGTATACTAGTATTTTCATATCAATTTTTTATTATAATTATGATAAACTTAAAAGTTGGTTATTTTTCCAAAAATCCCAGCAGAATATGCAGCAGGCAGTGGAAAAGTCTTATAACATTACTTTGAATCACTACTAAGCATAAATACTTGGGCTACGAAGGGACATCTGCTTCGCAAAGGTAAATATGGTCATCGGAAACATTGGGCATCGAAGAAGACGTCGCGCGAATTATGTCGCGCAAAACGCGTGACATAAGACATTGCACGATAATTCATGAAGAACGGCTTCCTTGACTTCAGGTGGGACAATTTTCCATGACTCCCACAGGAGGGGGGCAATGATTCCTAATAACCGAGTCAATGTCGCTAGCCAACGCACTGTGCTGCTCCTTTGTTGCAACCGCACGATGTCAAAGATTCCACATAATGATGATCTTCTCGATCGTGATGCGAGTAGTTTGTGACGTCTTCGGAAGTTAGCATGGGCACTGGTTACCCTCAGGCTTTGTGATAAAATCCAAAACTTCCACAACAATCTTCAGCTCTGGACATGTCATCAGCTTGTAACAGTTGCAGACTCAAGCTATGGCAACTTGGTGCCAATGTATACTCATAGCATCTCGAATTCTGGTTTCTAATTTTTAATTAAATTTTAATTAAAAATACTAGAAAGTTCGTTTAGGAGCTTCTTAACATTTTTTACTCTAATCATACTCTAAATTTGGGGAGTTATATTAAAGGGTGTGTTATCCACATACCTCATTTTACTTCTCACACATTCTTTAATAATTTTTGTCCATTAATCTTCTTCAATTCTTTCAATCCGACGGACAAAAATTAAAAAGATGTGTGAAAAGTACAATGGGGTGTGTGGATATCACACCCCAATATTAATTGTGGACCAATAGAAATAGAGTTATTATTTAAAAAATCTTTAAATTTTAGTAATTAATACTTGAAACTGATTTTTCACTCCCGAGATTTAGGAGAATCTTAGGAGGTGGATAAAAAGTGTGATTAGAGATGAATTCTTTCTTCCAAATTCTCCCTAAATTTTAATCAGAGCTCATTTAGGGAGCCTATTAAAGATGCTCTAACAAGTTCTATAAAAAAAAAATGCTTAACAACTAACCACCTATTATATATAAACCAATAGCTACTAAAACGAGAACGCATGGAAAAATCAGAAATTTTCATTTAACAAATGACATGGATAGACACCTCATCGTCCTAGTATTGCCCGCCCCATCAAACAAATCTTGTCCTCATGGTTTAAGAACCTTTAGGTCTCGTTTGATAGAGGTTTGGATTGGAATCGATAAGTAACTATTTTCTGTAGTGGCTAACTTAAAGGTAAGTGATGGATTACATGTGAAAAAAGGTTATCATTTCAATCCTCTCATCTAACTTCAAAATACCTTGAGTTTAGTGGATTATCCATTCCATTCGAATTCTAGTCAAACAAGCTAAAACTGATGTAGCTGATGCCGTTACCCTTCTTTACTATCGTTGTAGCCAACAGTGTATCTTGAATATTACCAAATGTTTGTCCATTATCTAAACCCTTAATGCAAAGGGTTAAGAGATGTCTAGTAGACATGATTAAATTGGAATAGATATGTTAATGATTTTTTTATTTGAAGTGAACGAAAAGATGATTAGCTATGAAGAGATTTCATCCCTTCTAATCCTACCATTTTTAAAATAAAAAAAAGGGGTGGTTCCGAATGGATAAGTTTTCTTCAAGAATAATCCATCTACTATCCTCTTCTAATGGTCATAGTTTGAAAATTTCTTCATTCAACGTAACCTTAATTTAGTAGGTAAATACATTTATAACCAAAGAGACTAGTTGGAGACAAATGTTGATATTTGTGTTTACAGATTGGACAAGGGACAACCATTTTCTTGATGTCATTTTACACGAAACTTAGTCGGCACACCGGAGGGATCCTTCTTTTGCTGTCAAAGAGCCTACGGGTGCCAGTCGTATTTTGTAGACCTAGGGGCCGAAACTCGTATGCACGAAAAATGAACGGTTGAATTTAAAGCACACCTTCAATTTTGTAGACGCTAATTTTAAACTTGGTGTAATTGATCGAATGGACCCTAAACCCACAACCAATTAGCTGTTACATACACGAAAGCTCCGCAATTTTTTGGTTCCAAAACTTGAAAAATTGCCAATCGTCCATATTCTTCCAATTCTCCAGAAATTTTGCACCAATTTGATTTCAATTATTCAATCGAATTCAATATCAAGAAATTGTGGATTTTACCCATTCGATTATGTTTTAATTATGAAATTAAGTTGAAATTAAAATGTCAGCAGAAACCATTAAATCCTACTACATTCCAAGAACCAAATAAAAACGACCAAAAAAAATAAAGGTTTGCCTTTCTTCATACAAAAAGGCCAAACAAAAACAAAATATATTCCCAGAAAATTCACAAAAAAAAGGGTAAATATCAGTTTACTATCTTTATGTTTCGTGGTTTTCAACATTTACTACATCAAGTTTTTTTCATCCCAAAGTCATATCTAAAATATAAATTTTGAGACACTCTCATACATTCGTGTCATTAAAGGGTCCACGCGGATTTTTTTTAATTTTGTTTTTGTTTTTTTTCTTTCTTTCTTTCTATCTTCTCTTCTCTATTCATGTGGATTTTTTCTTTTTTTCTTCTTCTTCTTCCTTTCTTCTTTTCAGAGGAGGGGTTCACCTTCACCCCTCTCGACCCCCTCCCTTCTTCTCCCTCCCTTCTCTTCCCTCCACCCATCCTCCCCATACACCCACCCATTCCCCTACTCTGCACTCACCCTCCTGCACACTTCTTCCAAGGAGGTGATGTTGGTGGGAGATTCAGCAACTGAGATGAGTTCAAAACTGATGAGAAAGAATAACAGAAGCAGATAAAGGGAGAAATTGGAAACAGGGTTTGAGAGAAAACCCATTTGCTCTTTTCAATTTTTGGATCAAATCATGTGAGTTCTTGGAGTTTCTGATATGGGTTTTTGAAAACTTTGAGAAAAATCAAGCTGGGTAGAGTAAAGATTGAAGCTTTTTTTTGCTTGAAACTGATTTTTCTGCAAATAAAAAAAAAAAAAGGGTTTTTATTTTTGTGGGGTTTGGTATTTGGGTTTCTGGGTTTTGCTTCTCCGACGCAGACGACTCATATCCCCAAACCCTATCCCGAATGCCCATGCCAAATTCCGACCCAGCACCCGTCCTTCTCCCTCCCGCAACAGCCAAATCATTTCCCTCCTTCACCAGCTCTGAGAGATTTCCCACCGATTTAGGAACATTTCCGGAAAAATAATAGCAACCCAGATCAAGAACTTTCAGCTTCTTCAGCTTCGAGAAGCTCAGGAGGATTTCGTAGAAGTCGCATACGACGCCGTGAGGGGCGGAAATGCAGAGGTCGTCGGGGAAGAGGGAGCACCAGGGGATGTCGAAGCCCAAAACTGTGTAGACGGTGTCTTGCTCGACAGGAGCAAGGAGGGGTTGGGGTTGTGAAATGACGTCTGTGGATAGGAGGGTTGTGAGGAGGAGGAAGGTTATGAGTGTAGATGAGAGAAGGGGGGGAGAAGGAAGGGAATGGGTGGATGTGCAGGGAAGTTAGGTGCACGGAAGAGAAAGGAAGGAGGGAGGGGTGAAGGTGAACGTCCAGATTTATTTTTTTTTAATTTTTTTTTTAATTTTTAATTTTTTAATATTTACATGGGCCTCAGTCATTATCCACGTAAGCATCACGTGATCACTTAATAAGAAAGTTAACAGTTTGATTAATAGATGTATAAGACTGTCTCAAAATTTACATTATGATTGTAGGACGAAAAAAACTTGATGTACTAAATATTGTTGGGTAGTAAACTGATATTTATTAAAAAAATAATAATAATAAAAGTGAAAAATAATGAAGACGGAAGATTTAGAAGGAACCATAAGACACCAAAATTGTATCCCCAAAAGCAAAAGAGCTGTACGGTCCGCATCATGGTTGGATCCAAAGATCCCATCACTTGGTCTCTCGCATCAAATCCCTATCATTCTTTTTATTTTTCTGAATTTTAATTTGAAATCTGGATACATAGAGAAATTTGAAAAACAAAACAAAATGAGAAAAGAGAAAAAAGGAGCGGAGAGGAGAGGAGAGGAGAGGCTCAGAAGAATTGGGTATGAGAAATTTATCAGCACAGATTCATCAGAGTGGTGCATGACTTCCTCAGGTGATCATCATTGCCCCCTCCCTCCCCACGAATGCATACGCTGCTAAACAAACACCCGCAGACTCACTCACTCACTCGCAGAGACGGCCACAGAAAGAGCGCGCGACGGATGAACTATTTTATCAGGAGGCCTTCTGCGCCTGCGGTGTAATTTATAGAGATGTGCGCAAAACCCTAGTTGCTAGCTCCTCGATTTTGTATGGTGCAAAGACAAATGTACCCTAACATTTCTACCAGGCTAAGCTAAGGGATGCAAGGCCCATTCGTTTTCTTTTCCACCTGATGAGATGACAAGAGAAGGCGGCCCATACTTATTTTTTCGCTTTTCAGATAGGCTTTTTTTAGCATTTTTGCAATGCTTAAAACTTGATTTACTCGTTTGGATGTACTTTTAAAATGACTGAAAACGTTTTTTGTTAAAAATATTTTGGAACCAATCTTTAGTAAAAATGCAAGTAAATTCTGGAAAAGCACTTTAAAATGCTTGCTGTAAAAAGTACATAACTGGTGCTTCTTACAAAAAGCACTTTTAAGTGTTTTTTGAATCAAAAAACATTTTCTCTAAAAGCACTTTCAGTTATTTTAAAAACACATTCAAACGAGTCTTCTCTTCGGAAATCAATTGGTTTCAGACTCACTTTCCTTACACTGGAGCATAGTAATATAGTTATTTCATCCTTGTTGGAAGTAAGGGATCCAATTGGTGTGGAGAAAATTCTCTCTTTGAAACCAAAACATTACATCTAATTTTATACTCTCTCCCTTGTGCAACATGGACCCCATTTAACAAGACTTAATGCCGCATGGCAAAATTGATGTTTCACCGAATTGACAACATGGGACGAAATTTGAGTTCTATGGTCTTTGGTGGAACAAATTGAGTTCTAGAGGAACAGACAACAACAACAACAACAACAAAACTTTTTCCTACTAAGTGAGGTCGGCTATATGAATCCTAGAACGCCATTGCGCTCGGTTTTGTGTCATGTCCTCCGTTAGATCCAAGTACTCAAGTCTTTTCTTATGGTCTCTTCCAAAGTTTTCCTAGGTCTTCCTCTACCCCTTCGGCCCTGAACCTCTGTCCCGTAGTCACATTTTCGAACCGGAGCATCAGTAGGCCTTCTTTGCACATGTCCAAACCACCGGAACCGATTTTCTCTCATATTTCCTTCAATTTTGGCTACTCCTACTTGACCTCGGATATCCTCATTCCCAATCTTATCCTTTCTCGTGTGCCCATACATTCCACGAAGCATCCTCATCTCCGCTACACCCATTTTGTGTACGTGTTGATGCTTCACCGCCCAACATTCTGTGCCATACAACATCGCTGGCCTTATTGCCGTCCTATAAAATTTTCCCTTGAGCTTCAGTGGCCTACGACGGTCACACAACACGCCGGATGCACTCTTACACTTCATCCATCCAGCTTGTATTCTATGGTTGAGATCTTCATCTAATTCTCCGTTCTCTTGCAAGATAGATCCTAGGTAGCGAAAACGGTCACTTTTTGTGATCTTCGCTAGATTGCTCTGGTCATTAGTGTGGATAAGTATATAAATGGATAGAGATAGGAAAGCAAACACAAGATGTACGTGGTTCACCCAGATTGGCTACGTCCACGGAATAGAGGAGTTCTCATTAATTGTGAAGGGTTTACACAAGTACATAGGTTCAAGCTCTCCTTTAGTGAGTACAAGTGAATGATTTAGTACAAATGACATTAGGAAATATTGTGGGAGAATGATCTCGTAACCACGAAACTTCTAAGTACCGGAGTGTGGTATCGTCTTGACTTGCCTTATCTGTCTCATAGGTAGATGTGGCATCTTCTCTCGAAGTACTCTTCCTCCATCCATGGGTGGTATCTGTAACTGGAGGAGATGCACAAGGTAATGTATCAATTTCACTTGAAGCTTACTTGTAGTTTCAGGCTTGGTCAAGCGCGATACAAACCATGTAGTAGGAGTCCCCCAAGTCGCCAGGCTAGGGGATCTGCTGAAAGATGTGACAGACAAGGTAAGCAATCAGAGCTCCGGCTGATTGTTCACATTCTCCCTATCTTGCAGGCAGCATGAAGGATAAAGAGAAGAAAAATGAGAAGAGATGATATGGGATACTTTTTGCTTTTGAAGAAGTAACTTTCCACAGGCTTATTCTTGAACTGGGCTGGAGGGTTTTCTGGTTTCCTCCAGAGTATAAGGCCGACTGAAGAATTTGAGGGTCAAAACAAGTCCATCAAATCTAGAGTACGTTCGACCCTGCTGATATGGGATACTTTTGCTTTTGACAGAGTAGTGGATGTATCGGCACGTGTGCTGTTACGCTTGTCTCCACATGCTTCCTTGTATCCTTCTCACTTGCCCTATCTGTTCCTCAGGCAGATGCGGTATCTTCCCTGGAAGCATAAGATGTTGAAGATGAGTACTCGAGAGCAATGCCAGGTAAGTAATCAGGTAAGGGGTTCCAGGCAGTCAGTTCCTGGCTGGAAGCTTGATTCCAAGTGCTGACTGATTGCTCTCTTTCTCCTTGTCTTGCAGGTAAGAACAAGGCCAAAGGAAAAGACAGGGAAAAAAGCATGATATGGGATACTCTTGCTTTTAACCCTGATGATATGAGATATTCTTGCTCTAGTATAGCTTGTTTACAGAGGTATTATCGGGGGGAAAGAAAGCTGAAATATTTCGAAAGGCTTCGTTGGGAGTGCCCTCTCAGATAAGAGGAAGGGTTGAGCATTTTTGCAGGTCTGCCTGTCCGTTAGGGGATGGAGGTCGACATATATAGGAGTCTCCCTAACATCAAGTAATAATGCTATTCCTTTACCCTGCTTGGTCATAGCACGGTAGTGGGAGCTGCCAGCTTCACATGTTTTAACTCTGTCAGAGCACTTTGAAAAAGTGGTCTGTGGTATCTGGAAAGCTGATGTTGCGTGTGAAGATTACAGACAAGCTTTATCCAAGGAGATCCAGCTCTTGAAGTTGGGAAAGTGGTGCCTCTTCGGTTTTCGAACAAGCAATCCTGTCGGGGATCTGGCTCTCGAGATTCGGAGAACGATGCCTCTTCGATTTTTGAGAAAGCAATCCTGCTGGGGGTCTGGCTCTCGAGATTCGGAGAGCGGTGTCTCTTCGATTTTTGAGAAAGTAATCATGTTGGGAGTCTGGCTCTCGAGATTCGGAGGGCGGTGCCTCTTCGATTTTGGAGCAAGCAATCTTGTTGGGAGTGTTTTCTCGAATGTGAGTAAAGGTTGGGCATGTTTGCTAGTCTACCTTGCCACGAAGCACAGAGGTTGACACACAGGGACTTTCCAATTATCCAGCAGTGGTACTGTTCCTTTACCCTCTCTTCGATTTTTGAGAAAGTAATCATGTTGGGAGTCTGGCTCTCGAGATTCGGAGGGCGGTGCCTCTTCGATTTTGGAGCAAGCAATCTTGTTGGGAGTGTTTTTCTCGAATGTGAGTAAAGGTTGGGCATGTTTGCTAGTCTACCTTGCCACGAAGCACAAAGGTTGACACACAGGGACTTTCCAATTATCCAGCAGTGGTACTGTTCCTTTACCCTCTCTTCGATTTTTGAGAAAGTAATCATGTTGGGAGTCTGGCTCTCGAGATTCGGAGGGCGGTGCCTCTTCGATTTTGGAGCAAGCAATCTTGTTGGGAGTGTTTTCTCGAATGTGAGTAAAGGTTGGGCATGTTTGCTAGTCTACCTTGCCACGAAGCACAGAGGTTGACACACCGGGACTTTCCAATTATCCAGCAGTGGTACTGTTCCTTTACCCTTGTGGGTAATAATATATGGTAGCTAGACCTTCAAAATTTATGTGTCTAAACTTTGTTAGTGTTGTTTCTTTGCAATTCTTTTACCCTTCTTGGTCAGAGCGATGTAGTGGGAGCTGCAAGCTTCACGTGTCTCAACTTTGTCAGAGAACTTTGGCAAAGTTATCTGTGGTACCCATGAGTTACTGTTGCGTGTGGGAAGTGGGTGATTGAACAGTACGATTCATGTGCTTTCTACTTCGCCAGAAATCTTCGACAGAATGCCCATAATTTTCCGCAAAGCTGAGTGTGCGTGTGACAGGTGCTGACAAGGCTGGAAAAGTAGGTGCCTCTTCGATTTCTGAGATCGGCCCTCGTGTGTCTCTGAGCAGCCCAGCTTTTGAGAAAGCAAGCCTCTTCGATTTCTGAGATCGGCCTTCGTGGTCTTTGAGCAGCCCAGCTTTTGAGAAAGCAAACGCCTCTTCGATTTCTGAGATCGACCCTCGTGGTCTCTGAGCAGCCCAGCTTTTGAGAAAGCAAACGCCTCTTCGATTTCTGAGCAGGCGCCTCTTCTTCGATTTCTGAAGCTTCGTCGAGTGCAGATTTTTATAGGGGCTGACATTAAGTTCCAAAGCACACTTGAATATCCACCAGTAGAAGCTCCATTCTTGCACTTCTAAGATCTTGATTTGTCCGACCTCTCTTCTCTCTTCAACACCTTTGAAAATGTCTGGCCCCTCCGACCGTCGTTTTGACTTGAACCTTGTTGAAGAGGCAGCCCCGCCTTCTCCAGACAACATATGGCGCCCATCATTCGTCGTCTCCCCTACTGGTCCTCTTACCGTTGGGGATTCCGTGATGAAGAATGATATGACCGCTGCGGTAGTGGCCAGGAACCTTCTCACTCCCAAAGATAACAGACTACTTTCCAAACGGTCTGATGAGTTGGCTGTTAAGGATTCTCTGGCTCTCAGTGTTCAGTGTGCAGGTTCTGTGTCTAATATGGCCCAACGCCTATTTGCTCGAACCCGCCAAGTTGAATCATTGGCGGCTGAAGTGATGAGTCTCAAACAGGAGATTAGAGGGCTCAAGCATGAGAATAAAAACAGTTGCACCGGCTCGCACATGACTATGCTACAAACATGAAGAGGAAGCTTGACCAGATGAAGGAATCTGATGGTCAGGTTTTACTTGATCATCAGAGATTTGTGGGTTTGTTCCAAAGGCATTTATTGCCTTCGTCTTCTGGGGCTGTACCGCGTAA